TACATATATATATTTATTTGTATTTGTATTATCTTCAAGATAATATTTAACAATAACAAAAATTAAATATCACCCGTTAATTTGTTTAACTGCTAATTTGCATAATATAATTCATAATTTGTTGCTATAATTTACATTAGAAAATAAATCAAAACTTAAAGCACTTACCTGCTACAAAAATTAAGCAAACTTTTATTAATTAACTAATTGAAGTATTTTTCAAATTTGTTTGTCTTTAGGGCGGCTACAACATAACTGTTCTGTAGAGTGACGGTGCTTGGGTAAGGTTTGGGGGGGTGAGGGGCGTTGTCATGTCATTTAGTCGCTGTCCGTAGAGCACATTGACATTAATTTGCATTGTCGTTTAATTAGTTATTCCGTTTAGCTTAGTTTAGTTTGCCTTTGCCATATTTGTGAGCTTAATTAACATTTGATTTCATTTCATTTGATTTGATGTTTTTTGCTTTGTTGATTTTAGAGATTTTCGATTATTATTTGATTTTGATTATTTATTAAGTGGTATACGGTTTTGCCTCTTTGACAATTTTGTATTGATTTTTGCGATAAATTTATATTTTTCAAGAGATTATTTTGGCATTTATTATTATTTTGTTTTGAATTTTCGCTCGTGATATTTAAATTATATTTTAGTTGTTTATTTAGCCATGTATTTATGTATGTTTATTTATGTCTTGTATATAGTTAGTAGTATATGTATGTTGTCTTATAAATTGTATTTCGTATGTATTTTGATTTCTAGGTTTTTTGATTTTACTGCTGTGAAGCCCAGTGTAAACTGTAAACATTTGTAGATACTAAGGAATTTACTTCTATTTATTCGTTATTTATTTACTTTTGTCGACTATTTTTGAGTATAGCTTGAACAACCTGACATTTGATCTTTAAGTCCGTTTTGGGTCTCTATGTATATAGTACTATATATGCATATATCTATTTTTTGTTTTGCTTGCCTGCAGTTATTAGACACCCAAACCTAAGCTAAATATTTATTTAATGTATGTTATGTTTCGTTTATTTATGCGAGCGAGGCAAGAGTTGAATATTTTGAGAGTTTGGGAATTTGTTTGGTATATGGACTGTTTGGAAGATCTTTTGGGTCATATGATCAGTTGCCTGCCCGCCTGCCTGCCTGCCTGCCCTGATTGCTAGTGTAAATTTATATCTATAGCCTCATTTAGGTCTAGATATAATTGCATTTGCATTTTTAAATTGTTTTTGATTTTTTACTTTTATTTTTATTTTTAATACATAAACATTGAGGTACGACTTACGATTATCATTCTTTAATACGATTTATTTGCATTTGCATTAATTGTTTACCTGTTAAATTTGCCTATGAAAAAATGTAAGTGATTTGCATTTGCAATTTATTGTAATGAAATGTTTCATGCAAAATTATTTGTCACAACACCCACACATATATATGTATATTTTGACAATTCGGTTTTGATTTCTTTTTCGTTTGTTCTAACTAGCTACGGTAAATATTGATTTATATTTGCATATTTATTGTTTGCTTTAAGTAGTATCCATGTATAATGTTAACCTATAAAATGTTGCCAACCCGCATTTTTCACTTAGTCTTTAGCTAAAATACGCACAAATATTTTTGTGCCTGTCTGTCTGTGTGACTGCCTACTCCTGCTAATCCTGCTCCTAATCCACCTACTTCTCCTTGCCTTGCAATCATTTCTCCGTGGTAATTAAAAAGTTTTCCTTACGTTTCCGGAAATGCCAGTGACACAGTTTGCCCAGCTAATAGTTGAAACGACTGACATTACCTACAACTTTTATCCTATATATAAGTATATATGTGTAATGTGTGTGTCTGTGTGTGTGTGTGTGTGTGTGTTTGTTAGTAAGTTGCGCTTGCATGTCTCTTAGTTTACTTGAGTGCGAGTATGAATTTCAACTTTATAGTTTTTAGTCGTAATTACGCCACTTGAGCATTGTGTGCAACGCGGCGTATGCGCCATGTGCGTATACGTAATGCAGCAGCAGCACATCCGCTTCTTCKCGAACTTCTTCTTCTATTTCTTCTTCTATTTTTTTCTTTTTAATATAAATCATAACCTTACAAATTACACAGAAAATTTGCATATTCTCTCATTCTCTCTGTGTAAATGGAAAATAATTAACCTGATGTGCCACCCACACATACACGCATATATATGTATGTCTGTCTGTGTTGAAGTTGTGCTGTAAACTTGTAGTTGTAGTAGTTGTTGTTTTTTTCTTTGGTTTTCCTAAGCGCTAAACCAATAGCTTTTGCTGACTTAAACCTAACACTTAAACATGACTCTTAACTGTGCTGTTGTATGTGTGAGTGTCTGTGTGTGTGTGTTTATTTTTCAATCCCTTGTGTTCAAGTTTTTATTATTATTTTCTCCATATTTGTATATGTATATATAGTTTGTATATATATATGTAGTTTGCATTGCAGCTTACGTATATGTTAGTATTTTTTGTTGTAGAGCTGAGCGGTTTTTTGTTTGTTTTTGTTTATTGTTTATTTAGTTTTGGTTGTATAATTTTTGAGGCATTCTGGGTTGCTGTTGTTGTTGTTGTTGCTGCTGCTATTTATGTTATCTTTGGTTGCGCTTTTGTAATGAGTTTTGTTTGAACTACTCGTAAATTTAAGCTTGAGTTTAACGGTCTCATAAAATCCCTGTTTATGTGTCTCATCCTCACTCGATTTGTATCCCGTCGCCTGCCCTTAGACATGGATCTCGAAGTAGTCGTGGCAGTCGACACAGCCGCCCGCCGGGTCACCGCCCATGTCCGGCATGTAGCCAATGCCACCGCTGGCCGTCGGCTGTGTGCTAACCACCATGCCGGGCATTCCGGGCATGCCGCTCAGTCCGCGTGGCGTCTTCTTCCGCGTGCGACTCTGCCGCACGCGGGACTTATGCTAGGAGGGTCGCTTCTGGTACAGACAGTCAATGCATGTGGTGTACTCGGGCGCCGAGGAGCTGAGCTGATAGACCGACTGCTGGGCGGGATCATGCTGACAGCCGGCCATGGGCATGGGCATCGGCGGCGGCTGGCCATAGCCGGCCATCTCCATCTCCTGCATGTAGCTAACCATGGGCATGTACTGCTGTGGCGGCTGTCTGGGTAGAGCGTCGTAAATGGGCTGCGAGAAGGTGTTCTCGGCGGACTGGGAGCGCAGTGGCCCGGAGCTGTAGACGACATAGTTGCGCTCAGGCGAGACGCCGTAGGCGCGATACGAGCTGCTCGTGGTGGTGCTGTCACGCGAGGTGGAGCGCTCCAGCGACTTGCTCAGCCGGCTGCGCCCGTTGCCCGAGCCGTAGCGGCTGCTAGTGGGCGCGGCGGCCACATAATGATCGCTGCACGTCTGATTGTCGTAGACCGGATAGTACTGATATGTCTCCTGGGCGTGCGGCTTGGTGCCCGTCTCGAAGCTGCCGTGGGCAGACATGCTGCGCTTGCGTGAGCCACCGCCGCCGTAGGGCACATCCAGATTGTGGTCGGAGCCGCCGTGGCTATCGAAGCTGCTGCGCGGCGAATGGCGCTGGCAGATGCTGGCCCGATCGGGCGACAGGTGGTCTACGCTGCCACGCGGCGAGATGCGGGGCGACAACGATGCCGTCCCCGGCTCCGAGCTGCAGACGTGCGAGGGGCCGCTCTTCTTCAGGCAGCTGCGATCGGGACTCTTCGACTTGGCCGGGCTGGCTGGCGGCTTCAGGATGCCCCCGCTGGGACTTGTGTGCTTCAGGATGCCGCCGCCCTCAGAGCTGCGCCGTGGACTGGGCGTGCGTCGTCCGCCGGAGAGGCGATCTTGCGAGTTCTCGCGACTGGAGCAGATGCTCAGCCGTTTGCCCTGCTCGCTGACGCTAGTCCGCGGCGATTTGATCTTTATGATGCGCACCGGGGAGCTGCCCTGCGACTTGCTCCGATCTGGCGAGATGTATATGCTCTGACGCTTGCCGCTCTTCGGCTTGCTGCCCGACGCAGCGCTCGCTCGCTCCGGCGACTTGGCCTTGAAAATTTTGTCCACCTTCTTGTCGATGACGACGATGTGCGAGGCCAGCGAGCTGGTCGGCTCGTCCTCGGTATCATCGCCGGAGCGCTCCGAGGGCCCAGTTGTATTGCCTCCAGTGCTGTCCGATTCGGTGGCTGGCCGCGAGGGCGACTCAATGTCCACGGTCACGATCTGCTGAGTGTTCTCCACAATGGTCTGAGGCTCGGGCGAGAGACTGGAGTCGTTCTGCTGCTGATCGGCTGCCTCATCACCGGCGTCTGTCGGCTCGAAGGCCTTCTCGCGCAGATTGGCCATGTAGGTGGCAATGTCGCATATGCCCGCCGCCAAATCCTCCTGCTCCAGCTCACACAGATGCTTGTCCATGAATCGAGTGGTGGCATCCGTTTCGCTCGCATGGCCGCTGGCACCTGAGGCATTGCTGGCATCGCGTTCGCGTTCACGTCGCTTGTGCTGCGCCTCGCCGCCGCGCGGATGCTGATGCACTACGGCCACCTGCTGGGAGGCGGCCAGGCGCTCCGCTTCGCTCTCGAAGATCTCAATGACCTCGATCTCCTGCTTGGGCGACTGGCGAGGCGACTGGCGCGGCGACAAATGTCTTGGGGTCTGGCTCTGGCTCTGGCTCTGGCTCTGTGCTTGGGTCTGGGTCGTGTGGGGGGTCAGAGTGGGAGTCGGTGTCGTGGTCGGTGTCGAGGTGGTCGGGGTCTGATTTGGTTCAGTGTCGCTACAGATTGTTGTTGTTGTTGTTGTTGTTGTTGCTGCGAACAAGCTACCACTACTGCCTAGACTTAGATTAAACGTGGCTGCCACGTGCACCGCATGCGCCTCGGACTCCGACTCGTGCTCGGACTCGCTGGCAACTACATCTAGGCTGCTCTTACCTAGATCCTTCATTAGCACCGGCTGATAGCTGGCCGGCGGATGCGATGATTGTATCAGGCGCGCCTGGCTGCCAGTGCTGCCCACCGAGAGCGTCGATGTGGTGCTGCACGATGTGATAATAAGTAGGAAGAGACGGAGAGAGAGAGAGAGAGAGAGAGAAATAGCAATAAATCAAGCGATAAAGGAGATTTACGAGGAGTTCTAGTGAAACAACTACCAGACCCTTGGCCAGATACTCTCTGGATAATTAATGAAAGCTCATTCAATTCGATTCGCATTCGCTTTCGCATTCGCATTCGCATTCAATTACTTTCGCTTCTATCATCTGGCAGTTATTTCGGCATGGCAATTACTACAGAGCGAAGGCCATTTGCCTACTGAGATTTGGAGCTCACCTGAGCGTCAGGTGATTGGGCGTGCGGCCCAGCGTAGCCTTGGGCCTGATTGTGCCCTGCTGTGAGTCCTCCTCGCCCTCCGACTTGGTGCCCGGATCGATGCGCTCAATGTCGCTGCTGTGATGATGTAAATGCGGCTGCCTGATGGGTGGCGGCGGTGGCTCGCGCGGATGCGGATGTGGATGCGGCGCCATTGACTGTTGCTGCTGCTGCTGCTGCTGTGGCTGCTGCGAATCTGTGGGCGAGCAAATGATTTCTTTATGTGGGTGTGTGCGTGATGCGATGATGCGATGATATACGATATGTGCTCCGATTATTAGCCAGCCTGCTGTGGATGACGAGCTGCTCCACTTACCTGTCACATCGCCCAGCGTCTTGCTGCGACTGCGAAAGCCGCCCGGCTGTGGCAGCGGCTGTTGCTGCAGCTGCTGCAGCTGCTGTTGCTGTTGCTGCTGCTGCTGGGATTGGGGCACATAGTGCACCACGCCGCCCACGCTCGGCGGTAGATCGTCGCCCTCCTGGCTGCCCGACAGATTGTCGTAGTCAATATTGCCCGCCGAGTGGCGCTGCGAGCCGGACTTCTTCTTCGGCTTGCCCAGCGTATGCGAGCCATGAACGATGGTGATCTGTGGAGTGCATTAGAGGATTAGCAGCTAGTCAGGGGCGCTGCCTGAGCAGCTGTGCTCCAACTTACCTGCTGCTTGGGTCGCTCCAGCGTCTGCGAGTTGCCCGCATAGCCGCCCATTTGGGAGGACATGCCCGAGACGGAGCCGGAGCTGCCGCCAAAGTTCTTCATGGGAATTGACATGTTGCGCACGCTCTCGCGGATTATCTGCCTGATGGTCTTGAGGAATGCATTGCGAAAATCGGCGGTGCTATTGGACAGCACGTAGACCTTCTCCGAGCGGCGCTGCAGCTGCGAGCGCAGGTGTATTAGCTCCCAGAGGAAGTGCGAGTCCATGTCCTTGGCCGAGCTGGCGCGCACCTGCACCTCGGTGACGGGTATCAGCACCTGATACCGTATGATTTCCACCTCATTTGGCGCATTCTTGCTCGAGACGCCCTGTGCGAAATGTCATTTAGTATCCCATTTAAATCGAGTCCTTGGGCCGGGCCATTTACTCACCATTAGCTTCTTCTTCTGGCGCAAGCGCTCCTTGCAGAGGAACACAACCGCCGACTTGAATACAAAGCACATGGCGTGCAGCTCGAGGCCCTTCTTGATCTTGCCCAGAAAGTCGGAAATGTTTAGCCACTCGACGCCGCCGTAGTAGAGCAAATCGCCTGGGAATGCACAGCATTGCGGGGAAGGAGCATTGGCATTGGCATTTGAGGCTGATGTAGCTATTGAATGCGTTTGGCGTAACCCACCTGGACTCAAATCGATGGGCTGCTTGCACGACTTCTGATGCTGCCGGAACAGATGATCGAAAATGGCGCCATATTCCTCATGAATGCGCTGCATCTCATTGATGTGCTCCGCCACCTTCTCCATGCCCTTGAGTGCCTCTGTGGAGATGCGAAGTCACATTAGTGTTGAAAGGGCTCAAGAGTCATCATCCCCCCATCCCCCCATCCCCCATCCCTACTTACCGCACAGGTGGACGTGCTCGTCGGCCCGCGTATCTGTCAGATTGCGCATCTGCTGCAGCAGCAGCGGATACTTGAGGATGCGCTGGATGGGCTTGATCAGATACGATTCCAGAGTGCTGCTGTGCTGCTGCTTGGGATTGCGTGCGGCAAGGAACTCCTGCAGCGCATGGTTGCCCTCATCTGCGGCAAATGAGACAATTTCGAATGGTGCTTAACGATTGCAAAAATTGTGATAAATTTGGCAAATGATTTGATTTCAATGCACATTTCAATTTCCATTAATTGCGACACAAAGGCACAGCGAGAGCGAGAGAGAGAGAGAGAGAGAGAGAGCGAGAGAGAGAGAGGGCAATAGGCTTCACGTGCGCAACGTTGACAAGAAAATGTCATTAACTTGTTCTTATAGCCAGCTGAGAAGCTTTTGATAAAGGCACAGTCAAAGCCTGTCTGTTGCACGGATTTGCGTCTAATGGTTGACATTCCCTCCTCCCACACCCGCTCTCCCACTACCTCCCGATCCCTGCTCCTGCTGGCTGCCAGCTGCTTGCTGCTTTTGCCTGCTGCTTGTAACGAAGGCACTTAAGTGCACTTCTTGCTATAATTAATTATCCTTTCAACTTTTTGCATAAAATTGCATGCAACAGCCAAGCGCAGCAGCAGCAGCAACAGCAGCAGCAGCGGCAGCAGCTCGAGTGTCTGTCATACCTAAAGCTCAAACTTAAGTTGACAAACTGTGCTCCAGCTTTTGGTACTCCTGCTCCTGCTTCTGCTTCTGCTCCTGCTTCTGTTCCTGGCAGCTGCTTAGACAGCCATTGATTGCAAATATTGCAAATTTTTACCTTTACGATGTTACTGCTGCTGCTTTTCTTTTTTTGCTGTTGTCGTCGTTAATAAGTTACCTTTTTTTTTTTACTTTTATGTAATATTAATGCATTTACAGCGCTTACAGATCCCTCTCTTTGCCTCTCAGTGACTTTGCTCAAGGTATTATAGAAACATTATTAACTTGTTAAGCATTAAGGAAATCTGCTGTTAGGCTATTAGGATTTAAGTGAACTTTAGTGCTTCGATTTGCACTGAGCTCAATTAATGGATTATAGTTGAGTTTGTAGAGACTTTGCTTATAAAGAAATCGTTAAACACTTGCTGCTGACAATCTGTATATCAAAGAATGAGTTCATCAAATACTATCTGCTATAGTATAATTTTAATATTATATTTATCTAATCTTTTAGTATTTTTCTTAATCTGCATTTTTCTTAAGCTGCATTTACTTTTATCTCTAAAGAAATCTCTTTTAAATGAAATGTCTTCCCTTTCAAATCCAATTCCTTTCCCCTGCTTTTATCACATATGAAGCAAGAGCATTTTCAGTTCGTCATGGTCATAACCAACGGCTGCTGCTGCTGCTGCTCCTGCTGCTGCTGCTGCTCCTGCTGCTTGTTTGCTCTCTTGCCGTCTGCTTCCCATTTGTGGCACTTGTGTTTGCTCGAGTGTTTTTAAGCTGCCACTAAGTCTAATTTAATTATGACATGTTGTCGCCTAAGCCAGACTCTCGCCAGGGAAGTCTGGAGTCTGGTGTCCCGCTAGTCTCTGCATTTCTCTCGGCAGCTGTTCCGCCCGTTTCGACTGGCTCCGGCTGCCTTTTATGCGCCTCGTTGTTTGCGGGTTGGCTGCCACAGCCAGTGGCAACAGCGCGGCATAGTTTTTGGCAGCCCCCGCATTTGCCCACTTGCCCATTTGCCTGCGTGTCATAATTCTACAAGTTTAATTAACAAAAGATACTTGACAGTTGCTGCCGCTGCTACCGCTGCTGCTGCTGCTGCTGCCTTTGCATGAATATGAACATGCCACGCCTTGCCGCCTTTCACGGAAATTTGCTGCCTCGCCACGTCTACGCATTTGCGGTTGTAATTATTCATTTAACTTGCAAATCATTTAAAGGCTCAGCCTGTGGCAGGGGTGCAGCAGCAGCGGCAGCGGCAGCGGCAGCAGCAGCAGCTGCGCCAGCCACTGTCAACAATTGAAGCGCATAGTTTGCCAATTGTTCGCAACTTGTCGCTTGTTTTACTTTTCACAACTTTTCCCCAGCAGCAGCACCCTTGGCCCACCCCGCAGGCCCCTCCTCCACGGCAGTTCAGTAAACTTCAAACTCAAATAGACTTTGACGCTTTACGCTGATTGCAATAGTTGAGAGCAGCAGCCACACACACAAGTACACACACATGGCTCATAATATATGGATTTATGCATATATGGTAAATACTTTTCTATCTGAATTGTCATGCGACACGTCTACGGAATTCTCCAGCCCTGCGCTCGTTCGTTCGCTTTGCATTACAGTTATACACATGTAAATGATTGCATGAAAACAAGCTAAAAGAAGTCTGTGGTTTTTTTTCAGCCAGACGCACGAGGCGTATGAGTGATTTGGTTATGCATACGTCTGGTCATATATTTGTTGATTTCCATTACAGAATCAATACGGAAAAATCTCCACATATTTGTCAATGGAAAATATATATATTTGTTAATAAACTTATACGTTAATTGAGTTATTCAACTGGACAGATATGTATTTAGTATGCATTTAAATTGGCTTACTCGGACTCTCTTAAAGTCAGATTGCTTTCAATCTAATGGAATTTTATGTAAATAGTTTCAATGTACTTACTTGGATGTAGAACCTTTTGGGCCTTGCTGTGGCTGGCGCAGAACGAGGAGTACAGCTTGAAGTGATTGACATAATAGAGAAAAGCCGAGCCAATCGCAAATAAGACGTTCTGTATGAGCGAGAGAGAGAAAGAGAGAGAGAGAGAGTGGGCGGGAGAATGAGAACAAAAAGAGATTAAACATGAAAACAAACCCACATACATAAGATAAGTCAAAGGGAATTGGAATTAGTTAGGCGAGTCACGCACGCCGTCGACGGATAAACTTACCCTGAACTGGCCGCAGTGCTCGAATTTATTGAATTCCGGCTCAAGTTCGAGCGCCTCTTCCAGGTTCTGGAGAAACTGACGCTGGAATGTAACAATCTCGTGTATGTTGCCGAAGAGCGCATTAATTTCCGCATTCGATAGAAACGTTTCGCGTTTCATGGGCTCCAGATAATGCTCCAGCAGATTGTTCAAGTGCTGCATGCAAAGCAGAAGAAAAACAAAGATTATAAAATAATTTAAATGTTTTTACACCCATCTTGTTGTTGTTGTTGTTGTTCAATAAATTCAAATTTGTTGACACATAAAAAATGAAAAATGAGTAAAGCAGCAAAAGCAACAACCAAAAGGAACAAAATAATATAAAACGAAATGAAAGAAAGATGCATAAATTAAATTAAAAAATCAGCAGCCCAAGAACGACGACAACTGCCCACAACAGCACCCCCACCCCCGTAAAACTCCCAGCTGAGCTGAGCTCTGCTGCGCTGGGCTGGGGCTGGGACTGAAGCTGGGACTGGGTCTGAGTCTGGTGACCAGTTCTCTCGCCCGAACAACTTTTTAGTTTTGCCCGCAACAACAACGTAGATAGACTCAAAAAAAAAGTTAAAAAAAAGTAAATAAAAATATGGGCAAAAACTGTAGCATAGCCGCAGGCGCGCGCTTTCATTTGGAACAATACTTCCGGCCAGCGGATAGCTGGGAATGGGGACTGCAAATATGGCCAGGGGGCAGCGAGGGGGGCGCGCGGATGTCGTCGGGCTACTGCCGGAGAGATAAGACTCGCCGCAGCGGCGCGGCGCTTTACATAATTTCTAAATTATAATAATTATTTGTATGCTTCCTGGCGAACTCGAGAGGGCGTGGCTTCAAGCCAGAGCAGCCCACACAGCCGCATGGCTAAAGGATTAAAATTTGCATTTTTAATTGCGAGCCAACACTAATGAATGGAATGTGTAATATTTTTTGGCCGACAAGCCCTAGTCGAAGCCAGAGCCAGAGCCGGAGCCGAAGCCAAGAAATAATAGTTCTGGAAGGTGTTCAAATACCCTGTTGGCCGAGCCAGCTGCAGCCAGGCTTATGACGAGGCATTGCAGACGGCTGTGCAAGGATATATATATGTATATATATATGTATGTATATCTACTTAATCTCTTTCGTTTCATTTTGAATATGATATAAAAAAAACTACACGCTGCAGGCGCATATAAAAAACTGAGCTGAGGAGAAAACTAATTTGATAGGATAATATAATCGTAGAGTGAACTTACCTTGACGTAGGTGCGCTCCGTGTCTACCAGCTCCATGATGACTTTGCGCAGCTTCTCGGCATCGGTCAGCTGGCGCGATGGCGTTAAAGCTGTGGTCGAGACCGACGATGTGACTGAACCCGTGGGGCTCGATTTGCGCGTTTCCTGAGGTGAACGACAAAATCCGGTAACCTTAACAGGTCAGGGTTCGGTTGGGTTGGTTGGTTGGTTGGTTGGTTGGTTGATTGTTGATTGTGTTATGTTGTTGTGTTTGTTGTTGTTGTTGTTGTTGTTATTGTTGTTGTTGCATGATGAGGATCGTGAAACGAAAGAAACGAAACGAAAACGAGCGAAGCGACCACACAAAAAAGAGACACCAAAAATAAATGACAATAAACAAAAATGAAGTTAGCATGACAGAGATAGATAGACAGCGATAGTTAGAACAGGACGGATACGGGGGTGGGCTGGGCTGGCCTGGGTCGTTTCAGGGCGTTGGGTTTGCTTGGACTGGGTCAAACTGTTGGCATGGGTCGTTCAGCTGAGTGCTGGCTGGCTGGCTGGCATTATTGTAGAACTCGCGGCGGCCACTTTAAACAGACAGACATAAACGTAGCCCCAGCGACGATGGCGACGACGACGGCGACGGCAACGGAGGCGACGTCAGCTGCGGTTCTAAATGACTGTCACGTCCTTGTCGTAAGTCCAAGTTGGGGGCGTCGTTTGCTTGTTGTATCTGCTGTTGCTGTTGCTGTTGTTGTTGCTGTTGTGTTTTGTCCTCGGCAAAGTTGTTGCTGCTGCTGCTGCTGCTGTTCGTGATGGTGTTGGTGTTGCTGTTTGTGTGCGGTTACAAGCACATTTGGCACTGACAGTTGACGCTTGACGGTTGACATAGAGTGTGTGTGCATACAACTACACCAAATAAACACACACACACATACACAGTRGCACACACGTACAGTCACACACAGAGCTAACCACACAACCGCATTTTGCATAAAGTGTAGAGGTGCGCAAATCTTCAGCCTTCTTATGTCACTCGCACAGTGGTTTTAGGTCTCTCGGTTTTCGCTCAGTTTTGTTTTCTATTTTTTTTTTTTTGTTCGTTCAAGTTTTCTCTCATTCGTTATGTTGTTTTTCTATTGGTTTAACTTTCTGTCATTATTCTTGCTGTTTTCTTCGTTAGGCAAAAGTGTTAAATGGCTCGTTGACCGGAACTTAGTTAAATTGACTTGCCACGCCCACCAAAATATTGAACGAATTTGCATTGTAAATGCCTAAACAAATATTTTTATACGCCCTACGCTATCTGTCTCTGTCGCTCTCTCTTTTTCTCTATCTGTGTGGGTGTGTGTGTGTATTTGAGTGCTGTGCAATTTGCAAAAGGTCAGAGTTTAAATCAACAGAGCGGTAAACACCAGCACGACAGAGACAGCGATAGCGATTGAGAGATGGCGCATAAGCTTTACCACTGTGCTTGACAGGGCTCACAATGCGCCCTGCCCGAAGGAATGGCCAGTCATTGGCGATGACAGCGTGATTGAGTCAAAGGCTTAACTGTATACTGTTTGCGAATTTCAGCTGATAGCCGATATAGTTTGAACGCCAACGAAATTTAATATCGTTCTTATGCTGCCCTCCTAGGGGCGCAAGAGTTCAAACATGTGTGTGTGCGATTGCGAGATCGAGATTGCGCTCGTTTGATGTGTGTGTGTGTGAGTGCAACACTCACTGGCCTGCGTTGGCACTGCGCGTGAGAGAAAGAGAGACAACACTTGCATATAGTTAGCCTGGCGCCATCTGTCCACAGAATACTGAAGCTCATGACGAGCAGAAGCAAAAGCTTATGAAAACAACTCTTCGACGGCAGCAGCAGCGATGGCAAATACAAATAGCTCGAGGCTGCACAAGTAACTGTAAAATATGCTCAATTCTTTCGTGTACATCGATGTACACTAATATAAATGTAAATTTGCGCTTGTGTTTGTATTGAGCGCTAAATTGGCTGCTTTTTGTTTGCATTTATGCAGGCCGGGCATTTTGGACTGAGCTGGCGCCATCTACCGTCGCAGTTAAGCAACATTTTGTGTTAGATTTAAATTGGAGAATATGGCAGACAACCGCTGCAGCATATAAATGCATCAGATGATGCCACGTTTGTTTTCGTGACTGATTGTTTTGTCACGTTTCCATCTCTGCACTCACACACACTCACACACACACACACACACACTTGCCGTCTTGAAGACTTTGCCATGTCGTTGCAGCAACAATCTCATGAAATTTCAGTTGTCATTGTTCGTGCAACATTCAGTTGTATTGCTGTTGTTGTTGTTGTTGCTGCTGTTCGCTGGCATTGTGGAAGAAGACATTTCACTTTTATGCAGTTGCACTTTGTGTATTATTGTTTCGTTCGTTTTTCTCCATGCATCTGTCTCTCTCTCTCTCTCTCTCTCTTCCTCGGCTCTGCCTTGGCGTTGTTGTGCAGCTTGTTCTTGTCTACTTTTAACTGTTTTATTGTTCTGCATTTCTTTCAGCTGCAACGTCGACGGCTGCGCCGCTGATTTGCATAAGCGGCGTCGGCAGAGGCGGCGGCAGTGGCAGCGGCAGCGGCGACCCAAAACCAACAAAGAGTAAGACACAAAAGGGGCATGGACAGGGCTGAGAGGCGGGCTGGATGGCTGGCTGGCTGGCTGGCTGGCTGGGTTGCTGGCTGGGCTGTTGGGCTGGATGGCGGGTTTAGTGCGCCAGGTGAGCGGCTGAGGCAGCTTATGGGCCAGCTGCTGAGTGCCAACATTGTTGTTGCAGCAGCACTCATTGTTGTTGTTGCTGCTGCTGCTGGCGTCATGCCCCAAAGATGAAAAATTTGAAAATTTCTTGAATTTCTTGGTGAGCTGCAGCAGAAGCCGCCACTGCTACCGCCGCCGTCGCCGCTACTGCTGCTGCCGCTGCTGCTGCTGCCGCTGCTGCTGCTGTGCGAAATGTCAACTTGAATTAAAAGGATTCTTATGTAACGCCCTGACTCTCCAGTTGCTGTCTCGCCTGGCAGTTCTGCTTGCATGCATGTGTGTGTGTGTATGTGTGTGTGTGTCTGTGCTCGGCCTCAGTGTGTTTGTGTGTCACAGTGTTCAAGTATCATTAAATGAAGTGGGTTTCTGCCAGTTTCGAGCACACTTGGGTAAAGCATATCCAGAAACAAAGTGCATTCTGTGGCGTCTTTGCGTTTCTTTCTTGTCTCTGCTCTATCTGTCTCACTCACTGTCACTGGCTGTGCCCCCATCTCTCTCTCTCTCTCTCTCTCTCTCACTCTCTCTCTAGCCTGTCGTTCATATTTGTTGTATATATATATATCCTTGATATTTTTATGCCAGCACATTTCTATTTGTGACGTTTATTGTTTGGTGACTTGCAAGCAACAAGACCCAATAGGCCAAATTTGTGGCACAAACATCTTGAGCGGCAACAACTGACAGCCAAGACTACTACTACATATGCTCAACCTCTGTCACCCCTTTGCTACTCTGCTACTCCTGCTTCGGTTCGGCTAAGCATAACCCACACGAGGCACTTCTCTCTTGGCTTTAGCAAATTTCAATTTGTGCACATTTCAATCAGAAGTGCACAAACCCCAGGCTCATGCCACTGCCCGGGCGGGCTGGAGCCCCTTGCCGTCTTGCCGTCTCGCCGCCTTGCCGTGCTGCGGCTCGTGTTTGGCGCTCGTTTTAATAGTTTCCGCTTCCGCTCGGCGAGTTCAAAGCAATTGGAACTGAGTTTTCCCGCTGCCTCAGCCGGGTGTCAGCCAAGTGCCAAGTTCCGCTCCCAGCGCCAGCTTCGAATCTTGTTTTGGATGTCAGGTCTAGGGGCCAGGGGTTTATTTTATTTCATTTCAGTTTTTTTTTTTTTTTTTTTTTTTTTTTTTTCTGGGTTCGGGACGGGTTTAACGTGTTTGCGTTTTGTTTCTTCTTGGTCATGTTTATATAATATATATGGAGCGGTAGAGAGATGGGGGACAGAGAGGGGTAAAACGGGCTGAGTACTAGGCACTTACTTGCTCCGCAGTCTTGAGCAGATTCTCAATTTCAAAGCTGCTGGTGCGCGATGTTGGCTTGGCCACGCCCAGTCCTGAAATGATGCCGCCCCCGCCAACGCCAACGCCAGCGCCAGCGCCGGCTGCCAATTGCGCCACAGTTGGCTCCACAAATGAGGGCGCCGGCGAGCTTTCCGCCTCCGGTGAGTACAAATCCTTGCCAGTGCCATCTAGAAGAGGAGTATACAGTTTCGAGCATGAGTTAAAGATAACAGTTAGTTATGTTTATTATTATTTGTTTTTGGCTGCCTCGTAATTAGTTGCCAGTTGCCTCTGGCGAACACAGACTGCGCTGCTGCTGCGCTGCTGCTGCGCTGCTGCTGCTGGCTTAAAGTTCGATTAAGCATTTTATTTATGTTGTTGCAGCTTGTTTGTTAATTTTAAATTCCATGTTTGCGCAATAAAAAGCAGCAGGAATTTAATACTTGCAGAAATGGTGCCCAAAAAAATAAAAAACAAAATATGTAGAAAAAAAAAAAAAAAAAGTAAGCAAGCAACCAGGCAACCAGAGCAAAACAACGCCAGCCAGCCAGGCAGTGAGGCAGTGAGGCAGGCAGGCACAAAGCTGAAAGTAATAACAACAAAAATACAGCCGGCAGTCAGGAGCAGGCCAGGAGCGGGCCAGGAGCGAGCAGGAGCAGCCACCGAGCAGCCAAAAAAACAACAGCAGCAAAAAGAATAACAACAACAGCCACAACAAGCTGTAATGATTATTGCTGCTATGTGTTTGCCACAACGTCCAACATAAGTGGGGCAGAGGCGAAGGCAGCGCGAGGCTGGAGTATGTGAAGGCAACTCACACACACACACACACACATACAGATTGTATGTATGCAGGCGCGGCAAAGATTTAACCAAGAAGCAAAAAATTTATGGCCCATACACATGGCATGCATACACGTACATAGTATGCATGCATATGTGTGTGTGTGTGTGTGTGTGAGCTCGTGGTAGTTTTGGCAGCGCCAGGAAGCGTTTAAAAATCATGTCCTTGAATGCTGCTCTCCACGGCGCTCGGGCCCTCGGCTTGCCACATGCAAATTGGTTACAACAAATTTTATGAACATTTTGCTTCAAATTTGACACCACACACACAATCTAGGGGTGTGCATGAGTGTGTGTGTGTGTGAGATATTGAAATTGCCGCCTTATAAATTTCAAGTTGCGGTCTTCTTACAAATTGCACGTAGTTCTCCAAGGCAAAGCTAGACAACTACGGAGACGGGGCTAATAACTTATAGACGTTGTTCGTTCCACACTTTGCTTGGTTGGTTGCTGTTGTTGCTGCTGCCGTTGGTGGTTGTTGTTGTTGTTGTTGGTCATTTAAACGAGCAACTCGAAAACGTGCATTGGCCATAAAGTCTAGAATTTTAGTAGTGGCTTTACTTTAACTAAGACGAGTATCTCTGTGTGTGTGTGTCCCTGGGCGAGGCAGGTGGGTCACAAGTTTATGATACGAGCTGTGCTGGTGGCTAAGCTCAAACGTGAGACTGTTAAAAACATATCGAATCTTCTACAGCTCACCTTTGGTATGTCGTCAGGTGCGAAAAGAGCAGCTGGCCTCAGCTATTCTGACAGCTATTGATAGCTCAAAGATATTGACCTGACTAAGTTATTATAATATCATATATCAGAGCACATGTGCGCCAAGGCTCGGGGCATTTGCTATTTAACTGTAAGTTTATTGCCAAAGTTTGCGCTAGATATATACAATATAAATATATAGCTAAAAATCTGTTTGCAAACCATTTAAGCTCAGGCTGTAAAATTTAATCACATTTAAAGCACTCTTAAGCAAAGCTAAACTTTTGGATAAACTCATATACACGTTGCCATGGCAAGCTAATTAGATGCACTCGCTCTATAATGGAAACTTTCAGAGAGAGAGAGAGAGAGAGAGAGAGAGAGAGAGAGAGAGTCAAAAGAGGAACTAATTATCTGCATGACTACAAGAGAGTAACATATGATAATGAAAGCTGCTTCGACTACACTCAAAGTGCTTTTGGCTCTTCTTTTTAATTAACCAAAAAAGAAACGAAAATGAGAATGAGAATGAAAATGAAAATGATGTAACGTTTGGCCAGCTTCACTTGTGCATAAAAAATATATACATATGTATATAGATATTTATATAGAGTGGATACAGCTTGCTCTTCTCTGATTGCAGTCTTCATCAAATTGTGCATTTAATAAGCTAAAAGTGCTGCAACGTCAAGTTGCATGCCCCGTCGCAGCGTTTGCCCAAGTTCCTTTCTCGGTTTAATTGCCAAAGTGAAATGTAATCCAGTTTTTCTTTTCATTTTTATTTATGCTTCTTTCTCTCACTCTCTTGTTGTTGCCCTCCCCCTCATTCATGTTGAATGGCAAACGATTTTTGCTGCATATGCCGCCATATCCATAAGCCATATGCCACAAATGTCCGTTCATCAGCCGACTGACTGTGTGCCAAAATGGCGAATATGCTACAAAATACGCAATGCACACACACACACACACACACATTGCCAATACATGTGGCAGCTGCATGTGAGTCGTTTAATTTTTTCTACACATATATATTTATATATGTATATGCTTGATTTTTCTCTTTATTTTCATATATGCCTTCGTGTTGTTCTTGTTTTAGTGTTTTCATTTTTTATTTTAATTCTTTTTTAGTTTGCTGTGCCTTTTAATTGTTTGCCGCATAAAAATGTTTCATTTTGTGTACTATATAAAATACACACATACACACACACACACACACACACACACATGCATGCACGTTGTTGTTGCCGTTGTTTTCTGCGTTTGTTGGTTTTTAATTGTTTTGTGTTCTTAGCCACTTCGGCTTTTTGAGTGCAGTGCAGCGTGTGTGCGTGTGTGTGTGTGTGTGTGTGTGTGTGTGGGCGCAGTTTGTAATCCTGTAATTATGTAGTTGTTGTTGCTGCAAAGCGAAACGAAATGCAACGACAGCATGGCATGCCACACACACACACACACACACACCTACACAGGGAAAACTATTCGTTTCTCCTACCCACACACTATCCATCTCTCTCTCTCTCGTTCTCTCTCTGTTAGCACGCTACTTATTGATGTAATTGTTGTTGCATGTTGTATGAAGCACTTGCAACATGCATTAAACGAAAAATATAAATTACTTTAATGAACTTTACAAATTCGCATGCGCGCCCGGAAATGCGCTTTACGTTTCCGCTGTTACCGTCACAGCGCCAACCACACAGAAACAGCCAAAGGGACAGGGAGAGAGAGAGACAGCAACAGAGGGTGAGTGAGAGGGAGATGCGGGCAAAGAGGTACACCGCACCTTAACCACAACAACAAGCACAACAACGAGCACAACTGCTGCTGTGATTAGTATGCTTTTGTTGTAGCCGTGGATGAATGTTGGGCTGCGGCTTTCAAATGTTGAAAACAAAATAACAGAAAGCTAAATAAAAAAGTATATAGTAAAAAACATTCCACGCACAGTTTTAGTTTCTATTTTAGTTAGAAGCCAGACCAAAGGTATTTACAGTTCGCATTTATATGTGGAGCGGCGTGTGGGGGCCGAAAGGAATATACTTACTCCAACCGGGAGCTGGCACAATCAGTCCAGTTATCATCTCTTCGCTCATCACTGGCGGATCTGAGGGTGGCGGCGGGCACACCAGAGAGTCAATCATATCGTCCGTTACACGCATTATGCCCACTAGATCTGGCGGTTCGGTGCGCGAGGAGCTGTACAATGGGATAGAAGAAGAAGAAGAAGAAGAGTAGACAATGTTAAAGCAAATTTTGATGAAAGTACACAAAATAATTAACATAATTTGATATTGGATTCGAGTTGAGAGTCCACGGCTTAAAGCCAAACACCTGGCTGACCTTTTTCTATGTCAGTGGCAAAAGATGCGGAAAAATGCTTTCCAACGTGCATAATTTGAATGGGATTTGGGAACGTGTGGGTGGGTGTGGGAGGAGGCTGAGCCCTGGTCATGGGTTACAGTTTGCTGCCTCGCAAACGTTTAACACAAAAGCCAATGCGGCCATAAAGAGCAGCTAATTAGGCTATCAAAATGCCTGGCTATGCGCCGGCCGAAGGGTCGTCGCAGCTCCGCCTCAAAAGCCAACTCCCTCTGCTTCAATCCTGAACCCGGCGAGCCCCTGAAACATCAACCCTACTTCAACGCTCTAGCCACAGCCTCCGCTCACTGTCCCCTCCCTCTCCCACTCTCTTGCGCTCTTCTATATGGGTAACTGGTCAATGTGTTTGTGTTCATCTGTGGCTTTAGTTTTGTTGTTTCGGACTTTGTCATGAAAATTGAAAAGCGGAATATTAAAAGCTCGGAAAATTTGTTCGTCTCTGCCATTTTTGGTGCTAAATTTCCCATTTTTGATTTGTTGCGAAACTATTTTTTTTATACTGTTCGTGCGTCTGTGTCTGTGTGTGTGTGTGTGTATCTCTGGGCTGCTTATTGGCCAACTAGAGCTACTAAAATGTACAAAAAGCTTGTCGAATGTTGACATATTTCGAGGTTTTTCCTTTTCGCTTTTTTTTTCTCTATATTCATTTTGAAAGTTTGTGCGGTATTTAATATTAAACGAGTGTGTGGCTTTAGAGGTTGAAGCATTTTGAGGACAGAGTCAATTTAGAGGGTTTTTTTCTGCCTCTATTTCGGGGAGCTGGCTTTGAGAATTTAAGATAGATATACTGTACACGAGTTGGCGGTATGAAATAGGCGCACAAATTGTGCAGCATAAAGAAAAAAAAATGTATAAAAGCTGCCATTAGAAAAGTTAATTGATTTCTCGAGTGCCATAACAAAGCCGAAGCTGTCAGAAAAATGCATCGAAGAGCTGGAAAAACGAACTGAAAGTTAGTCAAGCTTGTAAAGGTTGAAGGTATAGGAGAGTGTATATATAGATATATGTGTATGTATATATACGTACAAAAGATATTTATTTTGTATATATATGTAGTAAGTGCTTTATCTGGCTTGCTTGACTTTAACTCAATTTTGTTATTGTTTCTTCTTTCCTAAAATACAAATAAATTTAAATTATTGAAAATAAATCGATCTTGGATTAATTTAGATTTATTTTCCTTTGCATGAGCTGAACTGCATATGTTATTCAATGAAATAATATTGAATCGGGGATTATGCACGGCTCGATAAATCTGTAATTAATTAATATTTAAGCAGCTTTGGCACCTCTCCCAGATATGTTATCTCAAATAGCAAAATTAATGAGATTCAACAACACATGATTCGGCATAACTAAACAGAGTTCTGTGAATTGGCCTCGGGCTCTCGAGCTACAATTTGACTATTTTATTGAATTGAATCAAATGCCAAGTGAAGCTGAGCAATCGGCCTAGAGCAAACTTTAAAGGAAACAGCTTAATTCGTTTATGAAACAAAGCAAAGTGTAGCCAATTGTTATGCTGACCAGCTGAGGTATTAAAAGAGCGATAAACGTCATTGTTGGTTAAACAATGGCCAACTTGTTAATTAGTCTACATATATACAATATATGCATATATGAATTTATATTTATATTTGATATCTGTTTAAACAATGACCAGCCACATCGACATGCAACAATGGCAAGAAATAGAAAAGTGAAGCGGGACATGGGAAATGGGAAATGCAAGGCTCGCATATCGCCTGCCTTGAAGCTGATGCATTCAAGTCAACAGCATGCGAGATGGATAATTGACAGGCTGACTGGGACAGTGATGGTGTAAAATGGATTAGTGCAACTTACCGCATCATCATGCTGAGCGATTGCTCCTCCTGCAGCACGCTCTCCAAGTACATCATATCTAGATCGGAAACAATTGCGCCATTGATGACCATTATTTCGTCTCCCTTGATAATGCCTGCATTGAAAATGAAGAAGACACAAAACCTGAGTTAAGAGCGAGCGAACGTTTATAATATTAACTATTTCCATAATGTGTCTATGTGTGTGTGTGTCTGTGTGTGTGTGTGTCTGTGTGTGTGTAAACAATAGAGTTTCTCTCAGCAGCAGCAGTAGTTGGGGTAAAATTTAATAGTTGCGCGCTATTATTGTCTGCCTGGCAGGAGGCGGTCCTGTAACAACAGCGGCGAGGCAGTGACAACTTGCCTTAAGATAAGCGCCCATGTCTTGGGCTAGCGATAAAAACAATAACAAACACAATGTGCTCGGCGCATTGTTCATACGCCCCGTTGCCAGTTTAATGTATTGCATCTAGCTCAACTCTATGTGTGTGTGTGTGTGAGTGTGTGTATGGCTCTCTTCGAGTGTGTGTGTGTGTGATTCGTGTTTTCTACAACATTTATTTCGAGCAGGCAGCTGCTTGGCTTCATTTTTGTTTTGTTGCACGTTATCAGTGTTGTTGCAGCTACAGCAACTTCGACAGATATGCGCACGTGTGTTGGTGTGTGTGTGTGTGTGTGTGTGTGCATGGGTTGTTATCTGTCTGACAGTTGTGTATTTTATGCAAGAGTCTGCTGCACCTTGAACCTGCCAGCCAGGCAGCAGTAACCAGCAGCAGCACCACCAGCACCACCACCAGCAGCACCATCAGCAGCAGCAGCAACAGCATCTCCTGCTCAATTTTTGCATTTTCTACAATTTCAAATGGATTTTCGTTTCTATTTCTTTTTCCCTGTATATGTGTGTGTGCGTGTGTGCTTTTTGTGTTGTTTTCGCAGCACATTCGTTACGTTTGCGTTTACGTTTCGTTACGTTCTGCTGTGGATTATTTGGCTTTAGCTTTGGCAGCACATGCATTAGACAAATATCTACTCGACTTGATATTTATTTTGTTTACTCTGTTGCGGTTGCTCTAGCTTTACGCTGTTTTGCAGTTCTCTGGCTCACCCTTTCGTTCTCTCTCTCTCTCTTGTTTTCTTGCTCAGTTTTCTTTTTTTGGCTGCGTTGACAACAGCTTTGTTCTTGGCTTGAGCAAATTGTTATTTCATGTTTGCCAAATACTTTGCCACGCTTGTTTTTCAACACTCGACTGTGCGGCATGCAACTTCTGTACACATGCAGCGGAGGCAGTTGGTGCAAATGTTGCTGCTGCTACCACTACTCCTGCTGCTGCTGCTGCTGCTGCTGCTGCTGTTGCATTTGTGGCCATCATTATTATGGATGGCTCGATGGCTGCTCGACTGCGTCTGTTTGTTAACTGGGAAAAAGCCAAGCAAACAGGCGCCAGTTGCCAGTTGCCAGTTGGCAGCTTAGAGTGGCATGTGGCATGCGGCATGCGGCATGCGGCATGTGGCGTGTGGCATGTGGCATATGGCAGGTTGCATTTAAGCACATTGAATTAGGGCACACTTTAAGCGCTCATTAAAGGCAACTCAAAGACATTTTGGGGTTTCAATTAGCTCAAGAAAAGTGGGCAGCCACAGCATTTGCATTTGCATGTGCCACTATTGCTGCAACGGCTGCTGCGTTTGTGGTTGCATGTGTTTTTGTTATGTTGCAGTTTCTCTGGTTGGCAACTGCCTTGGGCAGCTCTAGCCCAGTTTTGTTTTGTGGCGCCCTTAAATTGGTCTTTGGCACTTGCTAATAAGCATTTAAATTAATACCCTCTCTCTATCTCCCTCTCTCCCTCTCTCCCTCTCTCTCTTTTGGAGCTTGTCTAATTTATGCAGCCACACGCACTTGTTCGATTCCATTTACATACAAAACTTGGCAAACGTTACGTCATATTTATTGATGTCCTTGAATAATATCCTGTTATTGTCCCGTTATTATCATTGTATTGTGCACACTCTGTATTGTGCAATCTGCTGCAACTTGTTATCGTTCGACTCGCTGCACACTTTTATCGTAACTCGTAACTTTTGTAACTATTTATTTATGGCTCTGCAATTGCGACACTTTTTTCACTCCCCCTCGCTCCACCCCAGATAATATTCATAGCCTGAACTTTTCGAATATGCGTAAACACGTCCAGCTTAAATGGACTAAGTGTTTGTGTGTTTAAATGCGAAATTACTTTTGCATTGTATTTACGGGTTTAGTGCAGCAAGAATGCAGAATAAATGTTATTGAACTATTGCTGATTGCAGAAAAGTGCTGCAGTTTTAATTGAGCGATGTGTGATTGGAGTTAGGTAATGAGGACTTTCCGATATTAACATGATTTTTTTTTTTTGACTAACGTAATTTGGAATATATAAAAATAGGCATTATGCTTGCTTATTCTACTAATACATAAATAATATTAAAATTATTAAATTAAATAAAATGTTTTAAATTAGTTGAGCCGAATGTAAAGCAGTGCTGAAAGTCTAGAAATATATTTAATTTTGTCACAGCATTATAGCTTCTAGCTTAATCTTAAATACAACTCAAGTTGCCTAAAGATCAAAGAGGCTCTAGATCCAACTGACAGCTCTATCTATATATATTGCATTTAAATTTAAGAGCTGTGGGCTTTATGGAGTTAGAACAGACTCAAATCTTCTGTGCTCAGCCTACAAGAGTTTGCTCTCTGAATAAAAACAAATATTAGCGCTGCTGAAAAGGTGAGCACCAATACTTGGATCTATATTATAGCGAATGAGAGATTGAACTGCACTAGAAGGCATTTATATTGAGAAATTGCGTTGAGCAACGAGCTTCGTGTAGGAGATTTATATACAGTCTGTGCATTGTCGTGCCGTTGTTTCTCTCTCATTCCAGTCGTTCTCCGAGTGCCTCAGGTGATCAAGCCGAGGCTCGAGCATATGAGAGACCAACTAACGTTTGATTGGTGCCGATGCTCGTGTCTTTATATTGATTACACTAAGCTGAAATCTCTCCACAGCTCAAGAGATTAGCTAAGTGAATTGTTATTCTCTCTGTTAAGTAAGTCGCATTTAATTCAATTACACCTTGATTATGCATATCCACCAAAATTGCAGTTCACCTAATGCAGCTGCACAGAACATAAAAAAAAATCACCCAAAATGAAAAAGAAGAAAGTAAACAAGCAAAGTCATTAGCAAATCTGGCACTAGCTGCAGCACTTTATTTGCTGCTCATTAAATTCAACACCCTGGCAAAAACTTGTCCAGTGGCATTGTTAACGCAGTTTTAAGCCAACCGACAAAAAAGAGAGAGGGAGAGAGAGAGGGAGAGAGAGAGGGAGAGAGAGAGAGACAGACAAAAAAAGTGCAAGAAGAAAAACTCATGGCAAATTATAAACTAACCGCCAGTGGCAGGGCTAACTTTGAAGGCGTCGCGAGTGGGCGGCAGAGGGTGAGGTGGGGCGCGGACTCATGTCTCAGTTTTTGCTAACGATTTTCGGTGCACATTGTTTTATGGACTTTTGATTCGTTGTTGTCGCCGCCTCTGTCGTTGCCACATTCGCACTCAACGTGCTTAATGAGGTTTCCGCTGCGCGACTTTCTTTCAGGTTCATCACTTTTGCAAGTGCTGGCATTGCAGTTATACGCCAGGCAGCACCTGGCAGGAGTTGGCGCTGCCAAGACGGAACCAGTGTCAACATCAGTCGACATAATTTAAAGCGCTGCTCGAGTGGCATTTCGACTGCAAGCACTTGACTGCAGCTCGCCCAGCTCTCTCAGCTCCACCTGCCCCCACTATGCATGCAAATGCCAACTTAAGTTGATTTTAAGTGATAGAAAAACAACAAGGGGTGGCAAAGGTAAGGCACGGCCAGGTGGGGCCAGGTGGGGCTAGGTAAGGGATGTCTAAGATGACGCCCGAAAAGCCTTTAAGAACACAGGCGCTATGGCCCTGTGGCTGTCATTACAGGTGCATACACAGAGACAGAGAGAGAGAAAGGCAGGGAGAGGGAGGGAGAGGGAGCAAGCACAGCATCTTCGAGTGCGCTGCTCATCATCCGACGTGATGTCTTCTGCTCGCTTACAAGCGCTGACTGTTGAGTTTTTCATGAAGCAGTTGCTGCTGCAGCTGCAGTAGCTGAGGAGCCTGGCCCTGAGGAGCTGCTATACAAACTGCTGCTCACTCCAGCCGCAGCTTCAGTGCTCCACTTGACTCTGTGCTCGGTGCAACCAAAGCGAGTTTGGCTCAAGTTTTTTTTGTGACATAAAAGTGAAAAGCATTTAAATATAAAAGAAGCGCAGCTCTCTCTCCTCCTCCACACACACACACATACACACACACAGAGACAGAGACAGAGCTAAAAGCGCATGCCAACACAGTGATGTTTGCTAGCTGGTAGCAGGCTGCAAGTGAAGTGGGCGTGCCACTTGATAATATTCTTGGCCAACATTGGAACTCACATTGTTTCACAGTTGAACTACGGCTGGCTGTCGGGCAGTCAGGAGCAGTCAGGAGCAGTCAGGAGGAGACTTAGTTGGCCTGCCAACGGGCATCTCCCCTGATGTTTGTCCATTGGCCAATGGCCATTTGGCATTTTGTGTGTCATAAATTGCGAGTGAGTGCACGAATTCAGCTGAGCTAAGCAGCTGTAGCTGCTCGAGTGCTATATTTGCCCGAGTGTACTTACCATTGTGCATGGCCACGCTTTTGTCCTCGACGCGGCTCACATAGCAACAGAGCTCATCCTGCCGCTCCGCGTTCTCAATCAGCTCCGCCTCGACGGAGAAGCCCCACATTTGCTCCAATGTGGTGCGCTGCAGCTCCACCTGGTACAGTATTTTCATGCACACCTCCACAAATTCGTGATTATGTAGCTGCGGAAGGAATATAAAGAATGCCAAAATTAGCTATACTGCTAAGCAGCTTAAAGAAAAAAAAAAAAGTTGAATTATTTTCGTGTTATTTTACATTTTGTTTTTTTGTTCCTGTCTTTTTTCGCAGCCCGAGTTTCAATAAATCTGCTGTTTGGCCCCCAAAAAGTTGTTTTAATTCTCAATTTATTGAGCAGCCGGAAAGTTTCGTACAGCTGCACTTTTGACCTGGCAATATTTACAGCTTGTTGTTCAGCTCGAAACTTTTTCCCGAGTTCTGCTCGCAATTTTGTTGAAGCACTTTGCCCCGAGATCGAGCTGCGCTGGGCTGGGCTGGGCTGGGCTGGGTCGGGCTGACTTGGCAGCTTGAGAAATGGCATCCTCAGACTAATCGCCCGCTAAGTGGCTACATATTTCGGGCCTCAGGGTGGGCGGTGGGTGGTGCAGCAGACACAGCTGTGGTGCAGCCAGTGCAGCGTAGCTACAAACGAACTCCAATTCAAGGTAGACTTGGCATTGCCAAAGAAACCGAAAGAGCCGAACTGAGAGGCTCATTTAAATGATGTCATTAGCCGTGTAGAGCTAATTCCACTTGTGATTTATCAGCTGTAATTAAACTTGAATCTGATGCCAACGGATTGGCTCTGACTGAATCTCAGAGCTCATTGAAATCGTCTATATTAAATCCGAATCACTTGTGCCAACAAATCGCATTTAATCCTTTCAATTGGCAATTCCTTTGTTGAGAGAGCACAGAACAACAACAACAACAGCAACAAAAAACTCCCTTAATTGCCTTTAATTTTGTGCAAACAACAAACACGTGTGCAAAGTTCAAAGTTCAATCGCAATTGCCACCCACACAGACACAGTTATAGGCGCACGTGTGTGTCTGGGCGTGTTTTTTCTTTATTTTTCCTTTCTTTTTTTTTTTTTTGGCTTGTGCTGAGACTGAGTGGGCGGGGCTCTTGGTGTAGGTTACTTACATAATTTTCAATCAGATCATTGCGATGTGGCACAAAGTAATTGTGATCCTCCATGTCACGTCGCTTCTTGACGCGCACAAAGTGCTCCATGGGATTGAGGTTGCGACGGGCGCAGGCGCTGGCAAGGAATTCCTCCACAGACATCGCGTCACGTAGATAAACTGTCGAGTAAGCATTGTCGGGCATTGCAACTTTGAAGGTTTTTTCCGGCTCGTCACGTGAATTCATCTGGAAAAAGGCAGAAAATTCGATTGGATAAACAGGCGAACATATACCACACACACACACACACACATACACTCATACAATGTCATTAAGGCTGCTGCTGCTGCTGCTGGAGCACACACGGAAGTGAAAATTGAAAAATAGCAAAAACACATTTCTATCCGAGAGCAAATGTGTAATGAAAAACGTCAGCAGCAGCCACCCAGCCATCCTGCCAGCCAGCCAGCCAACCAGCAGGCAGTCGACAGTCAACGGACTCTGACAGACAGCAGTTTGAAGAAAACTCAGTTAAAATGCTTAACGGCATCATCGTCCTCTGTTCGAGGAGGGTTCGGTTAACAAAGCTATAGCTGCAGCGGCAACGGCAGCGGCAGCGGCAGCGGCAGCGGCAGCTGGTGTCGTGGCAGCCGTGTTTGCAGCCAACAGTTTGGCCAACTGGTAAACGAATCAGGCGCCCAGCTGCCAGCTGAAAATTGCATTTGTATTGGCAGCCATCGACGATGGTTTTGCTGGCTGACTAACTTTTAGCTGCCGCTGCAGCAGGAGCAGCAGTAGGAGCAGGAGCAGGAGTACCACCAAGCATGCCCCAAGCACAGGTGTAATGCGTCCACACACACACACACACACAGACAGAGTCAAATGTGTGTGTAGTTTACTACTTGCACGACAATTGAATTAGTTTGGCAGTTACAAAACTCACACACAGAGAGAAAGAGAGAGAATGAGATAAGTTGGCAGCGACAGCAGCTATGCCACATTTGCATGCACATCCGTCAGACTTGCCACATGTGCAGCAGCAACTGGAAAGGAATCTTTGCATTGCATAACAATTGGGCAACGTTCGCATCTTTTTTTCACACACGAAAATGAATGCATTTATATGTCTATGTACATGTAAGTATTTATACGTGTATTTGTTGTGGCATATATCGTTTGCAAAGTCATTATGCTGCACACACACACACACACACACACGCAGTCACACGCAGTGAAATCAATAATGCATATGCAAGGCATTGCAATGCATTGCATTTCTTGCTTTTTTTATTTTCTTTTTTTTTTTTTTTTTTGGGTGTCAACTTTATATTCATAGAGGAAATGAAGGCGTTTGTGCTACTTTACATTGTCCTTTGCATTGTTGTTGCTGTTGGCTTGAACGTGCTGTGAAAATCGAGGCAACAGCTGCAGAAATTGCAAATTATAAATAATAATCAAGTTTAAAATGCTCACCAGAGACTGACAGAGAGAGAGAGAGAGAGAGAGAGAGAGGGCAAGGGACAAACACACAGATAGACAGCGAGAGTGAGAGAGAGAGAGAGAGAGAGAGAGAGGGAGGGAGTGCATTGAAATACAAGTTTCAAATGGCAATCGACATGCAGCAACCATTTGCAGCAATTTTATAGCCTTGTGTTCGCTTGAGAAATTTGTCGGCTATTTAATTGCACACATCCTCGATGAGTTGCAATCAGACAGACAGATTTTAATTGTCAGCTACAAAACAAAATCATGTAGCTGATTTTTATAACCGAAATATATTCACATGTGCTGTGTCTATGGTCTATGAGAGGAATTGACTGTGATGGGATGACTATGAAAAAGGTTTGAATCTAGGCGCGGCAATGCTGAGAAGTTTACAATTGTGACTTTCAGTAAGATGTTCTATCAGTAAGTGGGTTATGCCATGGACAGCGAGCTAGGGATAAATAGGACATAATAGCCAAGAGATTGCCAAAGAGTACCTTGAGAGCTCAGATTTTCTTCTAAAAGCAGCTTTGACAAGCCTTGGCTAGATTTTACAGTTAAAAGATCTGTCAGTCCTTGCAATAGCACTGGGCAAAGACTCAGAAGGGGACTTGAGCTTGAATATTTCAAATATTCCTTTAGCTGTGCATTATGCAAACTTTGAATCTTGCACAAGTTATACAAACTTGCCCTTAACAGCCTTTAATCATATACTTAATTAGTGTTTGTATAGAATGAAATTCTATAAACGAAGTGATACTTATTTGTCTATAATTTATCTTTAAAAAAAAAAAATAAATAAATAAAGAAAAAATTCTGACATTTTCATTCCTTCATTCCAGCGAAGCCTAAGTATTACCATGATAACTTGTTCTACTTGTATTTATTATAATTAAAGGAAACTCAGTTAATTATTGTTCAGGTGTAAACAGGTAGCCAATTTATATGGTCAGCTTATGAGATATGAAAAGACTCTGCAGCTGACACACACATATCCGAATACTATCACATATACTATATGGCTAGGCTTGACTTACTCTATTTTGCTGAAAGTGGCAGAATTTTAAATGGGTTTCATTAACAGCTTAAGCATTTTAAATGTTAACCAAAAGACCCTTCAAGGCTTGCCTATCACTCGCAGGCTCTCTCACCTCACCGCACCTCTCAACTCTATAATATACATAATAAATTCGGTTTTTATTGCAAATGTCACATGAAATGCCAATTACAATTATTCGCCTGTAAATTGTGAATATTTAAATTTTAATCGAAATTTAATCAGCATTTAATATGAATGTTTATAATAAATAAAATATTAAATATTATTATTTAACGAGCTGCACATTCGACAACTGCAGCTAATCTGGCTTAAATGTATTCGCATTTGTCAGCCTGACACTCATTTTATTGCTGCATTTCCATTTGAATGCTGCAAGTTGTTGGCTGAGGCAACTTTTTGAATTTTGCATTTGCATTTTCAACTGTGTTTTGCCTTTGGGCTGTCGATTAATGAACTTTGGCTGCGTAATGCGACAGCCAGTTGCACGCTGACTGAGCTGACTGAGCTGGAGCTGACGACTGGGCTGGCTTCCTCTTTGGCTGAGCCGGTTTGGGGCAAGTCAATTTTCAGTTGTCGCTTCGTTGCGTAATTCAATTTTCTCTGTTGGTCTCTGTCTCCCTCTCTCTCTCTCTCTCTCTCTCTATCTCTGGCTGCCTCTGTCGATCCTGCATTGGCCAATTAAGTGCGTCGTGACAAAAATTATTTAAAGGCCCCTAAAGAGCTGGCGCTACGCAGCTCAGAGAGCTTCCAGCTGGTAGCGGCTGACAGCTCACAGCTCGCAGCTCGCAGCTCGCAGCTCGTAGCTCGATAATTGCCAGTTGTAGAGCAGCCACGAGCACTGGTGGACACCTTTAATTTGATTTCATTTCATTTTCAATTGCAATTTCAGCTGCATTGCAGCTGACATGCTGGCAAAATGAAAAGCCACACTCACCCGACACAGACACACCCACGCACACACAAACACACACATGCATTCAATCGAGTTGACTGCGCAAAAATATCAACCAAATCAAATGCACATTTTTCAAATTCATTGAATTTTCAGCGCCACCAAATACAAGAGTCTGATTTAACGTTAGTAACGCTTTATACATATACATACATATATATACATATATTGCATATATATATACATATATATTTATTTATATTTATGTTTCATGTTCTTGCTTTTCGCATGAATATTTCTGGCTTCGCTGCTGACTGCGACGTCGACTGCAATTGTTGCAGCGTTGGCAAATTTAATTGGAAATGAAGTGTGCACGCCCCTGTGCACTGACTGTGCACTCGCCTGTGCGTGTGTGTGTGCGTGTGCTGCTGCACAAGATTATTTTGCCAATAATCGAAACAAATTGAATTTATGAAATGAATTTCATTAAAAGTACGACTATATATCCACCATGTATCCACAAATACACATAAAACAGCAAAAAAAGAAAGGAAAACATAAAAATTGCCAGCTCTAATTGAAGTTTATCAAATAAGCAGCATCAGAATACATAACGAGTCCATTTAATAAAACAACAGCCATGCCTAATCGAATTGAAAGAGCAGTTGAAACACTAAATGTATGTGTGCTGCCACACAAATCCGGCCAACTAAACCAAATCTGCATCGAGGCGAATGCGACTTTTATATGATTTCATCTTCAAAATGTTGTTTTTGCAATATAAAATGCAACTGTTTTTTGTGCAGTGTACACACGCACACACACACACACAAATAGAACTTTTAAGCCTGACTTTCAGCTTCAACTTTGGTAAATTGAGTTAACCAGCTGAATAGATATACAGCAAACGTTCGACGCTGCGTATGCGTAATATAGCTTGAAGCTAAGGCTTAGCTGCGAGTCAAACTTGCATTACGATTCCTAATATTTTAATTATTTTTAGTGCAGTTTTGTGGCTGAAACTAGCATGCCGAAAATCAATAGAGAGAGACAGGCAGAGACGGAGACAGCGATAGAGAGTACTATTTGCCCATTTGAGGAGCTCAAATACATTTGTGCAATGTAAATTTGTAAAACAGTTTCAAATATTTCGTGATTTGTGTTTGCTCTATCAAGATTCATTTAGCTCTGCCAAACGGTCAGAAAAAATAAATATACCAAGCTGCGTACTTTATGCAAATATTTCCACAACTTTGGATTAGTTTTTTTTTTATCTCTCTCTCTCTCTCTCTCACTCTCTCTGTGTGTGTGTGTGTGTGCTGTGCCATTTGCCTAATGGCTATCTAAAGAATCTTTTGGGAGTGGCGGCTCTTCATAAATTTGTTTTTGTAATTCCTGATGGCCATTAAATTTAAATTATACAAAGAAACGGACAACAATATGCTGAAAAAATAAAAAATAAAAAATCAAATTGAAATTAAAAGCGCGACAGTGGTCAGCGTAAAAATACATTAGAGGGTGACACATTTGGTGTTCGTCCTCGCATTTGCGCTCAATTTGGCTTTTAATGCCGTTTCCGCTGTCGCTTAAATAGAAATTCAATTATTTAACACACACACACACACGCAGACAGAGCTTATGTACGTAATAAAAATGCAAACACGCATCAGACAAACGCTGGCCTCTCATAAAAATGTTACCCAAAATTGATATAATTTTATGACGCATACGAACCGTGGGCTCATCATATACACACATATATATTGTCGCTTACCTGCATGGAGCGGCGACTGGAGCCGCTGTTCGAGCGAGACAGCATCGGCGGCCGTCGCTTGGTGGCACCACGTCCGGCCAGCAGATTATTGAGCAACGACGGCGACCTGGCACAGATGAAGGCGTGGAACGAGGAGACCGTAAAGACGCCCAGCTTATTCAGAGTATTCTTTGTGGGGCGCGAGACGTGGGTGAGCAGTGACTGCAATAGAAGAAAAGAGATATATATGAGATGATATTATCCATAGATAATCCTTTAACTTAACTCTTGAATCTTGATTAATATAAAGAATTGGCAATGGAAGGTAAATGGCAGTTACGCTTGGCCAGGCAAATGTTTGTGGCAATTTTGTTTGGCTGAATCATTTTGGTCAAGCTGACTAATGTGACATAATTAATTTCACAATACATATATACAGCTATACAAAGTACATTAACTGCGCTATATGTGAGTGTATATACATCTGTGTATGTGTGTGTGTGCTTGGCCTGTAAGTGTGCTGTGCAAATAGCCTGCAGTGCATGCACTTTCTCGTGTAAGTGCTGCTGTTGCTGCTGCTGAAGTTGTTTGGGTTTTGCGGTTATTAATAATAAATGTGGTTGCTCTTTATGCGAGTTGTTCAGTTGAAAGCACCGCATTTGCTGCCATTCCTCTTTGGCAAGCAGCCCCAACCCCTAGCCCAAGACCAGTTCCCCACTTTGCTTCGCTGGGCACGCCACCCCTCACCCCTCTCCTGCTGCTGCAGCAGCTGCTCTATACAAGTCATAAAAAGTGCAATTAACTTGCAACCCTTTTCGTCACCCATCAAGGTTGGGGCCCCGCAAATCTTTTTAATGCCGTGCAAAGTTCGAGGAGCTGCGCCACAGTCTCATGCCTCCTGCCTCACGCCTCCCGCCTCGTTGCTTGCTTCTTTGACCCTTTAAGCTGCAGCTCATTTAAGGCGCTTAAATTGTGTTATGGAGATTAACAATACATGTTTTCGGGCTCTCAACTGCTAGTTCCTCCCGAGTCTCGCGTCGAGCAATCGAAACTCTGCTACCCGCTCTATAAACAAGTAGGTAAAAGCAATTATAGACAACAGGCGGGCAGCCAGGCTTAAGAGTCAGCTAGAGCTTTAATTTCAGCTGCTGTGGCCGGAGCAGTTGGCTTTTAATCTCTGTTATGGCTGCTTTTTGCTGTTCCACTCACTCCACAGGAGAGTCTGGGTGATTTTTAATCAAATTCTCTTGTATTGTGTGAACTTTAAGCAGATTATGACAAATCTTGTTGTTGATTAGTTCTGTGCGCCGGGGTCAGATACATATTTATTTTTGCTTACCAGTTGCTTAAGCTGAATCGAGTGTCGAACAAGAAAAGTCGAAAAATCCTATTAGACTCGTATTTAAATTGCTCGAACTACTTAGTTCCCCTTTTAAAGTCGCAATTTGTCTCTCTCTCTCTCTCTCTTTCTCTCTGCAGTTTGGCTCAAAGTCTTACACATTAGATGGAAACACTTCCTTTTGCTGTGACACCTGCTGAAGTGCCTGCCACCTGTAACTGGTCTCTGGAGCATTCTGTTATCCTGTGCACTTGACAACTACTTTGCATTGAATAGCATTTTCAGGTACGCAGTTTATCACCACAGCGCAAAGCAGCTGCAGAGCCATCAGCATCAGCATCAGCATCAGCTACAGCATCAGGGCTAAGTAATTCAAATTGACGCAATCTCAGGCACGTTATGTGAACTTTCTGTGGCTTCCGTTAGGTGAAACAAATTGCGGCAATTGCCATTTTGCCATTAGGCAGCTATGAAGCAGTAGAAATGGGGCCGGCTAGCAAATGGAAGGGGGGAGTGGGGGGGGGGGGTCGCTGGAGGAGCCACTGTATAATGATACGCATAACTCACCTTTGGATTGGGCAGCTCACCGCTCTGGAGCGAGGCCATATAGCAGCGTAGTCGGAACTGTTCGCAGTGCAGACGTTCAAGGTTTTCCTCCCATTGCAAAATCTGTGCCTGTATTTGATGGCGTGTCTCCTGATCGGTGACAACTGATTGCTGCAGCTCAGCCATGTGCTTCAGCTTGTGATCCTGCAAGAGCGAGAGAGTAAGAGAGATGAAAAAAGGCAGACATTAGACATGAGTGCTACAAACACAAATACATATACATAGTTAGTGTCTAAGTGTGTGTGTGTGTGTGCGGATTGTGGGGCAAGGATGCGGCAGTGTCGCACTCGTGATGGTTATGAAAGCATCTCTGGCATGGCATCATTAGCATTTCATGGCAGCTATTGCTCGTTGTTGCTGCTGCTGCCTGTGCTGCTGCCTCTGCTGCGGCTGCGGCTGCGGCTGCTGTGGCTGCCATTTGACGAAAATACATAAATCACGCGTCATGTGCAGCAGCATTTTTCGTTGGCGCAATTCAAATATCTATGCGCTCGTTCTCTCCTGTCGCTCCCTTTGGCAGCTGAAGTGCGTTGGCAATGCACCAACTTTGACACACACACATACAAGCACACACACACACATAGTGAGAGATACTTTGGCATCGTTAGCCACATACGCACACACACATATATATGCAACACATGCCCGTTTTCATTACAAATAACGTTTGACTTCCGCCGCAGCGCGTCCCATCAGCAGCAGCAGCAGCTGAAGCAGGAGGAGCAGCAGCAGCAGCAGTCAGGAGGAGCTAGCTGACTGCACTGCTCTATACCCAATCCGACCAACCGTTCGTTAGCATTGCAATCCCACTTTCACGTGCATTTATACACGCTTCCATAGATTTCATGGAGCACGTGATTGTTTCATTTTGGTTGCTAGATTCCTATTTTTTCTTTTTTTTTTTTTTTTTTTTTTTTTTTTTTTTTTTACTTTGCTGTCGCTGCTATTGTTGTTGCTTGGTTGTGGCGGCACTGCTGCCACTGCTGTTGCATTCAGCTCGTGTAAGCTGACAATTATTTGCAGATGCAGTTGCCATTGCCGTTGCCGTTGCCGTTGCCGTTGCCGTTGCAGTGGCGGATACGGTGGGCGTAGCCGTGGCAACAACAACCTGAATGGGCACTTTCGATGTTCGACAATTTAATGAATGTGTACACATAAACAGCAGCAGCGCTCACAGTCACACACGCATGCACATATGTAAATGTATTTGTTCGCCGGCTTACACAGGTGTCTGCGTTAGCGCATTGTGTGGGCGACTCTCTCCCTTGGTGTATGTGTGTGTGTGTGTGTGAGCTGTATGCGAGGACGCTACTTGCCTGCGCTTGCTAGCGAGGATGTTGAGCTCGGCATTGTTTATTTTACGTGAAATAAATCATATTTGGTGTATTTGATTTAACAAACTCAGCACGGCCAAAGCGGCGTATACGTAATGCCAGCGACCCACATAACACAGTCAATATGTATTGGGTAATATTTGACGGACGTGCTGCACACACACACACACACACACACATATACATATCTATATGTCTTCCTGTATGGTTGTTGTTATTATTGTTATTATTATTATTGTTATCCACAAATACCACAATGGAAACCATAATTTGAGGTTTTAGCTGGAAATGTGAAATATATTTTATTGCATAACCAGCAACGAGAGGGAAATTTCAATTAACCATCGCATAACCATAAAGAGTTTATATAGATATATATAGGTAGAATATGTATACATATATATCCATTGTTGGCATTATTTAAAGATTTGCATAAATTTCGATTTGCAAATATTGAATAGAGACTTTGTCAGTTGAGCTGAATTAGATGCGATTGCTTGGCTATTAATATCTGTTGTCACAGCAGCTAAGAATAATAGGCTTATATTCCAAATAACTATATTTGATTAAGGCTTAATACTTTGTAAAAAGCGAGAGCTAATGCTAACTCCGATTTGAATTATAAATTTTAAAAATACAGACGAAATAATTGAAATATTTTTAATTGATTAATACAGTACAAATAAATAAAATAAAATACAATTCTGGTATAAGAAATTATTCAGCTGGAATATATCAATGCTTCTCGTTCGTAATATGGTTTATACATATATATGATTTTTATTATTTCTTAAGCATTTATTTTAACTTCAATTTAAGAATTAAAAAATAATAACAAAAATAATATTAATATTGAGAAAAGTAATAATATTAATAATAATATTCATTAAAAATAATCAAACTAAATAATAATATATTTATAAAAACATCCTAATTTCTCCTCTCACTATTCGCAATGAAAATCTTTTTAACCTTTCACCTTTTTGCAGTTAATTTATTCACTTTCTAAAGTTGATTTGATTTCTCAATTGATTCCTGTTGCAAGTCAAACACTACTCCAATAAACCCTTTGGCAGCCCTTGGCAACTAGTCGACTTGGTCTTAATGGGCCTAATGATAAGTCGGTCTCTCACGCAGCAGTGGCTCTTTCATGTTCCATGAACAACTTTTATGAGTTGAAGCTGCTTGTTTCGCAGCGAGAACAACACAAAAACCTAAATCAAGTGAATTGAGCCACAGGATTGCTATTCGCATGGCCATTGCCATTGGCATTGGCATTGCCGTTGCCGTTGCCAGTTTAACGAGCAGCAGCAGCAACAATAAATGGCATTACATTTTAATGACTGCACTTAATGTGCTTACAGTTTCAACAAAATAATACTTGCAGCAAAGCAAACCAGCTGAGAGGGCACTCGACCCTTGGCCCGGCCCGGGCAAGAAATGGGTTAATCAGAGCAGAGCAGAGCTGGGCCAAGGGACTGGCCAAATTGGATAGTCAAAACATTTGGCAAGTGCGTTTTGTAATTATTTACGATGCGCCCAGCAGAAGGAGAACAGCTCGAAATTGTCAACAGTTGGAGATGTGCACACACACACACACACACACAAACACATAAGCACACACACACGCACGTAGCGTACGCCTTCTTGAATAATATGGCAACATGTACGTGCTGCCTCTGTGTGCGCGTGCGTGTGCGTGCGTGTATTCACATTAATCGTGAAATTCATTGTTTGCTGTTGTTGCCGTCACGTTGTGCAATTCATGGTTAAATGGGAATGTTAATTGCCTTGTAATTGCATGGAATTGCTATGTAAATCAACGTGATATGATTGCTATCGATCATATTGATTACATTTACGCTGCACGGGGTATGACAAGCGTGCCACAGCTAGACATTTGTGAATATCCTGTATGAGGATATGGACTTTTGATCTGTATTAGCTATATAGATACATTTTAGTTCATATCGTTCAATCGTGAGAACTCGACTCCTGCTCTCATCAACTTTCTCAATGTGCGCACTCTTTTATTGCAATTATGAAACTCTTATATCAGAATATATGATCTTCGATCAGTATTAGCTATATAAATACGTTTTAGTTCTACTAAAACATGTTAGTCGTGCCAGAGTACTAAGAACTCGCCTCCTGCTCTCATCAACTTTCTTAGTTTCCGCCCTCTTCTCATGCTGTTGCTCCTGTCTGCTGTCAATATATAAAATCATTTGCAAATGAAGCCTTCAATTATAAAAATCACTTCGACAACATGTATTCACTGGGGTACGGCACTCAGTCTATTCTCTTTTCTTTTTGTTATCTCTTTTGTGGTCTGCCTTAAAGGAGAGCAAAACTCTCGTTTATGGGCTGCAAACGCTTGCGAGGACAACTTGTCTCAGAAATTGGAAGCGGTTGACATCTGCTATGCAGGAGGTTGGTGCAGCTGAGTTTCCTTTGTCAGCCACACTCAGCTTCGTTCGCATCCACAATATCTCAACGTGGCCCGCAATTTCGACTGTCATCTCAATTCCCCACTTAACGGCAATTTTATTATTGCTATGTTGTAGCTTGTTTCTGTGCGGTTTTTGTCTCAATGCTCTTTGCGTTCAGCTATGGTCCAGTGCTGTTGCTTCTGCTGTGCATGAGTGCGTGCGTGTGTGTGTGTAGGTGTGTGTGTGTATGTAGGGGGTTTTGTGGTTGTCTGTTGCGCTTTCATTAAGCGTCACTCGTGTATGGCTCCCCATGCGCACATTTGCGAGAGCTGCACAGTGAACGGGCTCCTCTCAAGTAGGCAAACTGTCGTTCAAGTTGTTCAGGATTCTAGGTCCTGTCTGTGGCATTGCCATTGCCGTTCTTGTTGTCGCCATTGTCGTACTGTCATTTCCGCTTCCTCAGTTTGGCTGGCCCGGCCTGGCCTGAGCTGGGCTGAGTCGAGTCGAGTTGAGTTCAGTTCAGTTGAGTTGAGTTGAGTTCATGGTGCGTTTTGTTGTTGCCGTTGCTGCTGTTGCTGTTGCTGCTGCTGCTGCTGCTGCTGCTGCTGCTGTGATATATGTTTACCCGAGAGTACAATTAAAAAATACATTTTGCTATTGTTGTCAGCGTCATCGTCATCGTCATCGTCGTCAGCATCAGCATCAGCATCAGCGTCGCATGACAAGCCAAAGATGCCGCAAATAGCAAAACCACAGCAACCGCAAACCGCAAATAACAACAACTACAACAACAACATTAATAATAACCACACACAACAGCAGCACCAGCAACAGCAGCAGCAACAGCAGAGACAGCAACAAGCGCTGGCAACAATGAGTGAAATAATAATAACGCCCCAACAAAAAGCGCTGCCTGGCGAAAGGACTCGTGACTGGTATCAGTTTGGTTGCTGCTAATGGCCCCGTCCTTCGATAAGTCAACTGTTCGCTCCAATTCCTTTCATCCCCGCCCTCTCTCACTCTGTCTCCTGCCCTCGCCGAAAAGACAATAACGATCAATTAACACAGCAGCCCCATGCCAACTATAAGCTCCTGCTATTGAGCTGTATGTGTAACGGGCAGCGGACAGCGGACAGCAGGACAGCTGGACAGAGGGACAGCGCTGCCTGCGATAAAAGATAAAGACAGAGAGAAAAGAAGGAGAGTTTAAGTTACAGTGGGGCAGCTCCCAGCACGCCCGCCCATTGCACGTACAACGCGGCGTATGCGCAATGTGAACATTTTAAATGAACTGCAGCTGAGCTGACCTCAGGGCAGGACTTTTGACTTTGTTGCGCTGCTGCATTAAATGCCAGCTCCTCCTCGATGGGCGCCACTC